TGCAACTGCAATCCTTGACATACCAACACCAATAACAATAACAGAATGGACAAAAATAGCCTACTATCACAATTTTCAGACCAAAAGACAAAATTTCAAATACAAATTCAAATTATACAAAGACAGAAAACATACCATCAAATAATACATTAGAGAATGGATCATTTGGTTCCATTAGAATTGAAAAGAAAATGGAGAATTGAAATAAAATTGAATTGAATTTTTAAATAATTCGAACAACATTAATAATAACAAGAGCAAACCCTAATAAGAGAATACCCTGCTCACATAAAAAAAAAAATTGAACATAAAAATTAAGAATGGAGAAAAAGTAAATGTAATTCTTCAAAACATACCCGATTCCTTGTTTTTGAAGATCGTCTGGCTTTTCTATTCAATTTTGCTGCTGGTCGTCGTTGCTCGGAGTTCATGTTGGAATGTATTAACATATATACTTTAGACTAACAGAAAATCTTAGAACACCATTTTGACAATTACATCTCAGTTTCTAACCTGCAGTAGACATGGTAATGATTCAAAAGGATTCTTATACTCATTGGGGGACCAATATACTCTTATGATGATAGTCCTAAAAGCTAAGAGTGTTTTCCTCTATGAGCAAGGAATCCAATATATAAAGCAAGGTTTACACAACTTCCATCTATCGTGGGAGTTGGTTGCAGACCCTATTGCTTTCAGTTCCAATCGTGGATAAGTCGTGGATGTGTGGGATCAAGTACGTGCTTCAGTTTGAAACACTATGGATGTAACTCCTCAATTATAGGGAAGGTTTTACACGTATACAAAACTCACACTGATTTATAATTAAAACATGCTGACTCATCTTATCATCTCATAAGAATTTTTACATTCTCCCACTTAGACGTTAACTAGTTGTTCTTAGAAACAACATGTTTATCATAAATCATTCCTTAGTGATCACTGTGAGTTTCACACAATCCATATCCTATACATATCTACTAGTGACCCTTTAAAACACGAACTCTATAAAACAACACATGTAAGACTACTGCATGCACCCTGAAATCACAATGTTTTGAAAGGACACTATATGACATCAATGAAATATACATATATGTACAATCTATACTTGAATTATCACTACAAATGTTACACCCTTTTTGTTTAGTGTACAAGACTTTTCCATCTTATATAAAAGGACTTCGAGTCCATACCATGTTTCCTGCACCAATCAAACTTATCCAATGTGTTCTTTGGAAGAAACATCATTTACATTTAGTGCTTTAATATGTTTGAGTCTTAAAACAAAATGGCAATTCAACATAAACAGAAAAGAAACAACAAATCATAAAAATGCAGTAGCACCTATGTCCAACATGATTCACTCCCACTTTTCTGCGGATTCAAAGCTTTCATAGACTCCCATGCTTGTCACATGTTCCTTGAACACTCCGACTGATAAAGGTTTTGTCAAGGGATCATCCACCATCTTTTAAGTGTCAATGTGTTCCACTAGCACCTCACATTTCTTCACTTGGTCCTTCACAGATAAATATTTTACATCCATTAGGTGAGTTGCATCAGACTTTTTGTTGTTCTTAGAAAAGAACACTGCCGCCTTATTGTTACAATAAATGGTCAAGGGCCTTCCAATTGTATCCATTATTCTCACGAAAATGATGAGATTCCTCAACCATATTCCCTTCTTTGTTGCTTCAAACAAAACAATAAATTCAGCCTCCATGGTTGAAGTTGTTAGTGCCTTTTGTTTAACACTTCTCCATGAAATTGCAGCACCTCCCAGAAAAAATATACAGCCACTTGTGGACTTCCTATCGTTGGTACACCTCGCAAAGTCTAAATCTGTATACCTAATTAACTCTAGGTTCTTAACCTTCTTGTAAACCAACATAAAAGACTTGGTTCGTTGTAAGTATCTCAACACTTTCTTGGCTGCCACCCAGTGTTGCTCTCTTGGATTTGCTTGGTATCTACCAAGCACACTTATTGCATAAGCTAGATTAGGTCTTGTGTAAACTTGTGCGTACATAAGGCTGCTTACTAAAGAGGCATAAGGTTTAGTAGACATGCCTATTTTTTCAAATTCATTTCTCTTGCACTAAGATTTACTAAGTCGGTCACCTTTCCTCATTGGCACTTCTTTATCTGAACATTGTTGCATATTGAAACAATGCAACACTTTATCTATATAAGCCCTTTGAGAGAGCCCCAACATTCCCTTTGATCTATCTTTCACAATTTCAATACCCAAGACAAAATAAGCATCACCTATGTCCTTCATTTTGAAGGTTTTTGACAATAATTCTCTTGTTTCTAGTAGCATATTCATACAATTGCTAGCTAAGAGTATGTCATCCACATATAAGATAAGAAAGACAAATCTAGAACCACATACCTTAAGATATATGCAAGAACCCCAAGGCAGTAACCTTTTGTTCAAACTTCATGAACCATTGTCTTGATGTTTACTTCAAACCATATATGGACTTATTTAATTTGCAAACCATATTTTCCTCTCCTTCCCTTACAAAACACGAGGGCTATTGCATATATATGTCTTCATCCAGCTCTCCATTAAGGAAAACCGTTTTGACATCCATTTGATGGAGTTCAAGATTAAAGTGTGCAACCGGTGAAAGAATTACTCTAAGATTATCCTTTGTCGAGACTGGGATAACGTCTTAGTATAATCTATGCCTTCAGTTTGAGTGAAGCCTTTTGCCACGAGTCTCGCCTTATATCTCTCGATTTTTCCACTTGAGTCCCTCTTTGTTTTGAAGACCCATTTGCAACCAATTGCTTTCACATTTGTTGATGCCTCAACCAAAGTCTACACGCTGTTCATTTGCATGGAATTTAACTCGTTAAGCAGGGCTTCCTTCAAATAATTAGACTCCTCACATTCCATTGCTTCATTGAACGAGGTTGGATCTTCTTGCATCCCTTCATTTGCTCAATCTCCTGAAGATATACAAAATAATCACTAGGGATGGCTGACTTTCTAGTTCTCTGTGGTTGCACTCTCTTCTCAATTGTGATTTGTTGTTCAAGCAACTCATCAGAAATCCTTGACGAATTCCCAATATTTGGTTGTATTCCGCTCTCTGTCATAACTTCTTGTTGAAGTAACTCATTACATGCATGCGATGATGTTCTAGTTTGCGGATCACCATTAATGCTCCCAAGAGACTGATTAAAGCTATCAAAGTGAAATTCAATTTGTTGTTGAACTTCAATGACAACTCCCTGACCATTGCCAATAATCTCAATTCTCTCACTTCCTTGAAAATCACCAAGAGTATTGTTAGGTAAAATACTCCCAGTTTCTGCAAATTCAAAGCTCGAAGACCCCAACTGAGAATCATATGTTGCTTCACCTTCTTCAATAAATTTTACAACCCCAGTTTCAAAGATCTTCATGGGAAAATTGGAAGAGTAGAACTTATATCTCTTTGTTCTTGCTGGAAACCCCACAAAGTGGCACGATATGGTTCTTGAATCAAGTTTCTTCTCCTTAGGGTTATATACCCTCGCTTTTGCTCAACATCCACAAACTTGATTCAAGCTTGGTTTTCGTCCAATCCAAATCTCATAGGGAGTTTTACAAATTAACTTCATGGGAACCCTATTCAGTATGTAATTAGCCATTTGTAAGGCTTCTCCCCAAAGACTGTGTGGTAAATTAGAACGACACATCATGCTTCTCACCATCTTTATCAAAGTTTTGTTTTGTTCTTTCAACCACACCATTTTGTTGCGGTGTGCCTGTTGATGTGTAATGTGCTTGGATCCCACATTGCTCCAGATAGAGCGCCAAAGGTCCTTTTGTTTGACCAATCTCATTATACCTGTCATAATATTCTCCTCCCCTATCGGACCTTAAAACTTTAATGGACATCCAATTGGTTTTGTACCTCATTTTTAAAGATTTTAAAACAATCAAACATTGAAGATTTATCCTTGATTAAAAAGAGATAAGTGAACCTTGAGAAATCGTCAATAAAAGAGACCATATACATATTGCCACAAAGAGTCTTAATTGGAAAAGGTCCACACACATCCGTGTGTATCAACTCCAAAAGTTTTTTACTCCTAATTGAACTCTTCTTCTTTATTTTTGTTAATTTTCCCTTGCAACAGTCAATACAATCTTTTAAATCATTGAAATCCAAGGTCGGCAAAATTCCTTCTTTTATTAGTCTTTCAATTCTTGCCTTAGATATGTGAGCTAACCTTTTGTGCCATAACATGGATGAAGATTCATTTGTGAGCAATCTCTTGCAAGATAAACTTGACTCAACAACCAAACAATTTGAATTTAATAAAAGTGAGCACAACAATTGCCATAAATCATTCATTAAGAAACAAATTCCAAGAACATTGTTTGGATTATTTTTCAAGAAAATTCAAATGCTTTCATCATCACCAATGAAAGCATAACTAGATTTTACAAGCTTAATTAAATTCCTTCTTAACGAAGGTACATAGAGTACATCGAATAATTCTAAAACATGGCCACTTGACAACTTCAACTTTAGATTGCCTATAGCTTCCACTGCCACTTTATTTCCATTGCCCACATATACTTGAAAGACCTTTTTTTTTTGTTGTTGTGACTCCTCTTGCGAATCCCCGCAAGGAATTGGTGATATGCACCGAACACCCACTGTCAAACCACCAAGAATTTGGAGGGACTTCAACAAGATTAGTTTCAAAGCAAACAAAGAATTCAACAAAAGAAATACCTTTATTAATTTTCCAATTCTTGCGTTTATCACAATCCCTCTTCAAATGCCCATATCTTTTGCAAAAATACGTTTGACATTGTCCAAATTATCCCTAAGCATCTTAGGACCCCTAGAGGAGGAGTCAATTATAACATTACCATAAGAAGACAACTGCTTAGAGGTCTTACCAGACTGGTACGCATGCTACTTACCCTTGTCACTTTGAACAAAGTTGATATGGTTGATAGTCTCATACATCATCATTTCTTCCTACTGAGCACAAATGGATATGAGTTCATCCAAGGTCCACTTCTCCTTTTGTGTATTATAGGAGATCTTCAACTGATCAAAGCTAGATGGTAGTGAAGTGAGTGCCATATGCACCACAAAAGCTTCATCCACAGGCGCCTCCAAGTCCTTGAGTTTTGTAGCAGTCTCGACCAGTTTGAAAATGTGCTCCCTGACACTCTTGTCTCCATTGAACTTGAGAGATGTAAGTGTGGTCATTAAGTTCCCCATCTCAGCCTTTTCTGACTCCCTAAACTTTGCCCCGACAGCTTCCATGAAGTCCTTTGCTTTGTCACAAGCAGTGATGCCTCCTCTCACAGTCTCACTTATGGTCCTCTTTATGACCATAAATGACATCCTTTTGGCTTTCTCCTACTTTTCATGCTTCAGTCTTTGTGCAGCAGTGGAAGTATTGATAGGAGCATATTTAGGTGACTTAGCTAGCTTATTCTTGTGCATTTGTGTTATTATTTCTTAGTTAATGTAGTATTTCAACTCATTTTCGTGTGTTTGTAGGTCCAAAGGGTTAAGGTACCAAGAAAGTGCATTTTGGAGCAGTTTTGGGCACTAAATGGATAACACATGTATGGGCCAAGATGGATGGACGAATTTGGAGTTCAAAAGGCTAGGATCCTGATAAGAAGAGGAAGAAATTAAAGTCAAGACAAAGAGGATAAGGAATCAGCTCAAAAGAGGAAACATTATCAAAAACCTTATCCAACATTATCCAAAACCTTATCTTATCTTATCCTATCCTAACCTAATCTTGTTCCACCTTAATCCTAGCTGCAAGTGGACCTAAAAACATGATTTCTAGAAGCCTTATCTAACCCTAAAAGGGTGCTGCACCCTTCCCCCTTTTATCTCTTCTAGAAAACCCAAAATCAGCCACAAAACACCTAGTTTCTAGAAGGCCCAATTTTGGACGAATTTCCTAAACCTTTTTCCTTTTGGATTCTGATTTATTAGGCCTTATTCATTGTGGATTTGGGTTACACAAATCCTTTTATGAAACTAATTGGGCCAAACCCTCTCCTAAGTGGATTTAACTTACTTGTGCAGAACCCTAGGGCCCTAATCCAAAAAATCTGCTAAGTGTAACCCTAATCTAATTAACCCTAAGACTATATAAACATATTTTCAGCCACAAATTCGTACCACCCTTTATGCTATTCAGAAACCCTATTGCCGCAACCCTTATTCTTCATTCTCCTTCATTCATTCACTCCATACACTCCATACACAACCTGCCGCACCCTACCACCATAATTAGCCATTATTCATCCTTCTAAACAAGAACACACCATTCAAAACCCCCAAATCCACCACCCACAACTTGTGCCGCAGCAAGGAAGAGGAAGGGAAGCCTAGCCATGCATGCCATTCAACCTGGAATTGCTGAAACGTTTAGGTGTAATCTTTCTTGTTCTTTCAATGTTTAAATTCAATGATCTTTGTTTTGCGAGTATGAGGAACTAATCCCCTTTTTGGCTAGGGGGAATTTCGAAACCATGGCTATATTTGCATGATGATTTGATTACGTTCAGTTGTGATTTCATGAATAGTGAATTCAATTTACTTATCTGTTTGAATTAAAACTTGTTTATGTATATGAATTGAGGGTGCACACTTAATTTGCATGCATAAATCTGATGCTAGGGTATAAGGAAACTTCACCTAATCGTTGGGAACTTATATTCATGAGTAGTTAAGATTGTTGGTCACAATCATATTAAGTAAATTCTTGGCATAAGTATCATGCGCTTTCATAGTTACGAATGCCTCATCAACACTTATGATTTCCATAAAACCTAATGATCTTTGATTGTTTTTCTATTATGCGCTTTCATATAGAGAACTTTTGAGGAATAATTTGATTGCAATGCGCTAATTCCATTCAATTCAATGACCTAAGGGAAATCTGAGAGTTAATTTAAGCGTACCTAATTAACTTGGGATGTTGAGGTTCATAATTCATTGAATAAGCAACTAGAGATTGTTTTGTATGCAAGTATGCCATGTGTGGAGAAAAACCTCCTAGCTATCCCATCATCCACTTAATTCCATCAAATTCGTCCAAATCTGCCTAGTTTAATTTCTTGTTTTGTTTGTTTGATTTTCGTCCAAAACCAAATCCCCATTTGTTTTAGAGTGTCTAATTAGTTCAAATATGTTTTAGATTGTGTTTTTAAGAGTTTTGAGTCAAGTTAGAATCAAATTTAATCCAAGTTTGTGTTTAGAGTCAAATCTGCCCAGATTGTGTTTTTAGGCAGTTTTGAGTGTTTTCAGCTTGTTTTGAGTTTTGTGAACTTGTTTTGAGTCTTTTGAGTTGAGTTAAGTGTTTAGAAACTTTGTTTTATTTATTTGAGACAGTTTAGAGTGTTTAGCAATCCCTGCTAATCCCCGGTTTAAGAACGATTCCTACTTATTTATATGCTACAATTGTCAAAAGAGGGTTAATTTGTGTGTGAAATTAATATTCGCATCAAGTATCAGTGAGAGGTGTAGGTTCATCCTTCCTCAATGCCAAATCAAGGTCCATTAAGCTCAGAACTATCTCAATATCTTGCTTCCATTTTTTGTAATTGCCTCCATTACGTGGTTCAATGAAGGACAAACTCATAGCAGATGTATTCACTGCAGTGGACATTAATAATTATTAGTAAATGACCAATGCATGTTTATACCACACCTTTGAGCAAAAGGTATAAACTGCCATTGCGAAAGAAATCTTTTCATGCATCTAATTCAAGTCTTTGGACAAGAATGGTGACTGAGCAAAGACACTTTATTTGCAATTTAGAACTTTTGCCTACTCATACATTCTTTCTTTTGAGAAAGAATATGGACGTTGCAGTAGTTTTAAATCACAGTACCTTCATTAGGGTTTAAAGTAAAAGAAACTCAAAAATGGCTATTAAATAAAACAAGCCAAACATAGCAATTTACTGCAGTGAAATCATATAGGATCTAGGGCCTGTTAGATGGCTTTGATACCAAATGTTGGAATGTATTAACATATATACTTTAGACTAACAGGAAATCCTAGAACACCATTTTGATAATTACATCTCAGTTTCTAACCTGTAGTAGACATGGTAATGATTTAAGAGGATTCTTCTACTCATTGGGAGACCAATATATTCTTATGGTGATAGTCCCAAAAGTGAATAGTGTTTTTCTCTGTGAGCAAGGAATCCAATATATAAAGCAAGGTTTACACAACTTTTATCTATTGTGGGATTTAATTACAAACCCCATTACTTTCGGTTCGAATCGTGGGTGAGTCGTGGATGAGTGGGATCAAGTACGTGTTTCAGTTTGAAACACTATGGACGTAACTCCTCAATTATAGGGAATGGTTTTACACGTATACAAAACTCATACTGATTTATAATTAAAACATGCTGACTCATCTTTATTACAACTAGTTGAGTCCAATAAGGATTCTTATAAGTTCACCATCACTGCTCTAGATGGATAGTGGTTTGAGAGAAAAAGAGGGGAGGAAAGGGAGAAGGACGATTGGAGTCCTACATCATTGGGAGAAGACGCTGTTAATCTTTGGGCTTCTAAGCCTGAATGAGGTTTGGTTCTTTTTTGAAAAAAAAAAAATTACATGTGTTAAATTCTTATTGATTCATGTCATTTGGTCGGTAATTTGGACACTCTCCTTGTCCCTGTGAGTACCCAAGTATTATCCTTAGTAAAAATTTCTTGTCAATGAAAATGATAGGTGGGTTTCATCCCACTATAGTATTTCGGTCGACAGTCTCCTAGTTCATCTTGTTTTTTTTGGGTCTCTCGTCAATGAGAGGGATATGTGGGTCCCATCCCACTATAACATTTCGGTTGACAGTCTCCTTGTTCATCTTGTTTTTTTTGGGTCTGAAGTCTGATGCTTCATTCCTTGTATATTCTTGCACCGTCTTCATCACCCTACACAAAGCAGCAGAGAGCTTCTCAATAGTATCGATTCTATCGACACAACACACTATCACCATCATGATCAATGGCATCGTCGTTTTCACACTTACTCAGCCTCCTCCTCTCCATCTTATTCATTGTTTTCCTTTCTGCAGGTAAGTTATCACTCACTCCCTCAATTCCAAAACTTTCCCGAAAATAAACAGAAGTAGTTGCACTTTCCCAGGGGAAAAAAAAAAAGAAGAAAATCGTATTTTAAATAATAGCGCTGCTGACTGATCTATTCCACCAAGCTTTCAGTTACTTAACTGCCATTCTATGTTGTCAAAATCCCCACTCAAACGGTCGTTTTCATTGCAGACTCACAGTCATTTATCGACATAAACTACGGCCAGGTCATCGACAACCTCCCGCCGCCCTCCAACACCGCGAAGCTCCTCCAATCCATCTCCATCAGGCGCGTTCGTCTCTATGGCACCTGAAGGATTATTTTGGAAGATGACATGTTCATTTAAGCAACATCATTAGCATGCAATTAACAAATTAAAGGCGGAATCATGCTAGCATGCACTTAAAAACAAAACATTACCCATGAATGTTCAAAGCCTAGTAAAATGGTGAACCAATAATCAACTCAAAACAAAGTGAGTTGAAATATATACCTTTGTAGATTCCTCTTTGTATTTAAACAAAGGCTAATCACCCAAAGAGAGGGCCTTCATTCCTTGCATCTTAGATCTATGGATTTGGATGGATAAAAAAGGTTTCTCCAAAGTTCCCAAAATTGAGAACCTCTAATGATTCATCACCAAGGCATAATGAAGAAGAAATGAGTGACCTTGGAGGAGTTTGATTGCTAGATGATCCCTCCAAGGTGGCCGAAATTTTAGAGAGAAAGGAGAGCTTGTGTTCTCATCCTTTCCCCAAAAACAACCTTAATGAATTTTAGGCTATAAAGTCCTTTATATAGTCCCTTCAAATAAGTGACCTAATGGACCAAAAGCCCTATTCTTCTAACATGGCCGGCCTATAGGGTTTATTGGACTTTCAAGCCCTTTGTTTATTCAAGTTGTCATACAACTTGAGTTAATGGGCTTGACATTCAAATCCCATTGGGCCTTGCGGCCCAAAACTAACCTGAGGTCTTTAACGAACTTATTCGTTTGATTAATTAACATATTAATTAATCCTAGCCTTAGATAAATAATTAAACCATTTAATTATTCTTACTCATCTCCATTGTTTCTTCAAACTCTACCTTACTCGGTGAACGATCCATTAGGTTCCTTTTAGCGAGGCAGTGGGCAATTAAAACTCTTTCTAATCGATTGTGAATTGAAACTTACTTTCAATTCTCCTGTTAGTGATAATACACTTTTAGGGCTTCCACAAACCATGGTTGACGCCTAGCAGCATGTCATGGTTACCCA